AAGAGCTATTTGTTCCGTGACATGCTGAGAATGTCAATGAACAATATGGCGGTTTGTTGTCTGGTATCCACTATAACGGCTTTAATATATTTCAAAGAAGGAATGAGGTAAGCCTACAATTTTTATAATGAATAGGGCTATATGCTAAAAAGGTTTTAATTATCGTGTTTTTATTAATGTCATCAAAGCCTTATTCTGACAGGGATATTTTGTCTGAGTCTTGGCGATTTTAGCGAAATTTGTTGTTGGACGAATTACACAATTATATCGAAATCTGCACTCGACCGCCATACTTTTCTTTTCTTTGTTGCAAAAGGAAGAGTTAACCCTTCTTATTAGCAACATTGTGCTCTATATGTTTTAGAAAATTGTATACTTTGATCTTGGATTAACCGTTTAGAAATTCCCCTGATAGTTCAGTCGTTTCATGAAGGCGCCATACAAACAGTTATATTTGACGCSGGAWTATMTYATAACGGCGACATAAGTTGATAATTTTAATCGATGAAATGCAGCAAGATATTCAATTTTTCAAAAACATTAAAATGAGAATTATTATAAAGTTTGATAAGCCGTATACAGAACTCGAGAACGTGTTGTATCGGGGCTAAAGACCCTCGCCTTCGGCTCGGATCTTTATCACCCGATACAACACGCTGCTCTCGTTCTGTATACATTACATACTAATAAGAGTGACCTTTATCAGATATAAAGGTCCATGACCCTAACAAAGGTCTCAGGTMTGAAACCTGATCATTGACCAATGCAGGATGTCAACCGATTTCAGTGAACAGCCAAGAGCTGTTCTACTTTACTTTATGCGTATTCAATGTGGGATGACAAGAGTGGTGATTCGCGCATGATCGGTTTGCCCCATTTATCTCTTGTTATGTATATTCATATATATTCATGTTATTATGATCGTATATTTACTTCAATTCAATTCCCAAAGGTTAATCTGTAAGAATAYATAGCTTTAGCACATTACTAATAAATTGCTTGTAGTTTGTCTGGACCGAAGGACTCCTTGTGATTTATTACAACTGGCGACGAGGATGCTGGAAATTTGAAGCCTGAAATCTACTATGGCTACATTTGGGAACTTAGAACCTTTTGAAGGAGGAGATTTTACTTCGTACAAAGAAAGATTGGAAGCTTTTTTCGTGGCAAWTAATATTGGTATTGTGCCTGAGGATTCAAGCGACGCTGTTGTTCAAGCTGCACAACTTAGTGTGCTCTACTTAGTAATTACTACAAGCCAAAAGTGTCGGAGGTTGCAGAAACGCATCGTTTTCATCAAGCAATACAGAATGAGAGTGAAAGTGTTTTGGAATATGCAAACCGATTAAAGCATCTGGCCGTACACTGTAATTTTGGAACTTTTCTACCACGCGCTTTAAGAGATCAATTTGTTGGAGGAGTGAGGAATCCTGCTACAAAAACAAAGTTGTTNTTGTTATGGAGAAAAGAGCATGAAAATTAAAATCGGAGATCAAGAGACTGACGTCACGATTCGTGTCGTTGATGGGCCTGGACCGTCGTTACTGGGGCGTGATCTTTTGGAAAAAATTACTCTACCGTGGAAAAGTATTTTCAAGGTTTCTATTTCTGTTGATGATGTATTGAATGATTATACTAATCTTTTTGATACTACACATGTTGGAAAGTTAGAAGGAGTTCAAGTGTCACTGCGCGTAAAGGATGACAGTGAAGAACAGTGCCATTTGCTATACGAGAACAGTATGCACAGGCACTAGACAAGTTAGAAGCAGACGGGATCATCGAGAAGGTAGACTACTCTGATTGGGCGTCACCTACAGTCCCCATAGTGAAGCCAGATGGAAGTCTTCGTATTTGTGGCGACTACTCGTGGACAATCAACAAGTATTCATCTTTGGAACCTTATCCTGTTCCAACGCTTGAGAAGCTTATGGGTAAACTGCAAGGCGGAGAGAAATTTACAAAGCTTGATTTGTCAAAGGCACACCTCACCAATTGGAGTTGTCACCGGAAAGCAAGAAGTACACAACAATCAATACTACAAAAGGATTGTACCAGCATAATCGTCTGCCGTTTGGAGTTACAAGCGCTGTAACTATTTTCCAGCGTACCATGGAAAATCTTCTGAGTGATATTCCCGGATGTGCTGTATATATCGACGACATTTTGATTACTGGAAGTACAGACGAGGAACATTTGCATAATTTACTTAGATCGACTGAGTGAGAAAGGCATCAAATTGAAGAAAGATAAATTCAACTTCATGCTTAAAGAGGTCAACTACCTAGGATTTATCATTTCTGCTGTTGGAATTTCGCCAACCAAACAACGTTGCTGAGTTYCAAAGTTTTATTGGAATGGCTAATTACCTACGACAGTTTATTCCAAATTTTGCTGAAATCATGTCACCACTGTATAAGTTACTACGAAAGAATGCAAAGTGGGAATGGGAAACTGAAGAGAAGCAAGCGTTCACAAAGATAAAGGCCTCGATTACGTCAGAGGAGGTATTACGTCATTACGATCCAAAAGRACCATTGGTTTTGCAAGTAGACGTCTCATCAATTGGGGTTGGAGCCGTCATTTTGCAACCTAAGGCCCGAAAGCTTAGTAATAAAATAACTTATTGGTTGATGAAGATCAATGATATATAATATAGTTGTTATAGTCATCTTGATTTTCTGTAGATTTAGTTTAGTAATTATTTTCTAGCCATTATTTTGATTTTACACAGAATATTTGCTCGAATAGCGTTGAACTTAGGATCGCGCACTTGATTCTCGACTCATTTTTTTTTTTCTTTCTTTCTTTCTTTTTAACTGAAATGAAGTTGTTATAGTCATATTAATTTTTTTCTGTAGATATTCCTTTAACAATTATTTTCGCTGTAAAGCTAAAAATATTTTAAAAAATGAGTGAAAAGATCTTACGCAGAATCTATCAAATTGATCGCGACGCTGGTAAAAGTATTTAACTTGGATACTACGCGCGTTCTGATTGGCCGACTGCCGTGTTTGTATCAGAGTATGTAAACATGGTTTTGACGTCACCATTTTTTGTCAAGTGCGATTCAAAACTAGAAGTAGAAT